GCCCGACAGTTGAAAATCGAAAAAGAACCTGGCAACACTTTCCTCCTTACACCCTACATGGCTCGTCCGTCTTCATTAGTCCACATAGTGCAGAAAAGTAAGACGTAACACTCCAAAATTTAGAAAAACAATCCCTTTAATATAAGTTTATTAGTTTCTAAACAGACATTGCCGACAATATTTAAGAAATGGGACTGAGTCAATATGATTGAAACCTTTTCACAATGTCTGAGACAAACTACTCGCCTTCCAGCTTTACTATCTCTCCTAATTCAATCAGTTTCTGCTAGGAGCTAGCCAATACTCCATTGAAATCCGCTGTTACCAAGGGGAATAGACGCAATGGATTGAATTTACGTTTACCAGTCGAACAAATCCAATATGACTTAAGTCTTGTACGAATTAGGGTAAAATCTTGAATCTGTGAGCAATTTAATTAGGAATCAAGTCAACTCGCGGGGTAAGATGTCAGGAATTGCTTTTCAGGTTAGTTCCAGACTCAATGCAATCAAAGACAATACAATTTGGTGCTTGAACTTGAATAGTGATTTGTGATTCGCTACCGGGAATACAATGTTCTTTTAGTTATATTTCTACTTTTGGACATCAAATAGCATTTTTCCAGTAGACAATTTTCGATTGAGTGGATAACTTTCAAACGCGAATTATTCAAGACATACAAGGATTTAAACATCAAATTTCGACGGCCCCTTTAACCGTATCGTCGATTGATATCATGTGTTATTGAGGAGTGAGTAAGTAATATTATCAATGGTGTCGTCAGCCTGCCGAGACTGGGGTATAAATAGGGAGCAGTCTGACTCAATGGGGGAACAACTGTCGAGGCTGAATTCAAAATGCGTCAACTCTGAAGAGGCATGTCGTCGCAAGCCTCTCATAGAGCGTCTGGGAGGGTTTCCCGAGAAAAATTCCAAAAAATTGAATTGATTTGGTTCATTCTGACGCATATTTGAGGGCATGAACGTATGAAAATCTTATTTTTAAATTAAGTGGCGCCACTAAATATCATACTAAAATACTCAATAACGAGTCCACATTGAAGGCCCAGTTCTGAGTATTTTCGGTAAATACGGCAGATACGAGTTATGACTTACCAACCTCTCGACGACATCATCATAAATATAGCAGTGAGCAGTGTACGCCATAAACCAACATGGAAATCCATTTATTAGAGCATATTTACATCTACTAAATAGCCAATTAATGTCATCATTGTTTATTTAAGGTCCACGATTTGAAATAATTAATCTTGATTTATAGTAAAGAGGTCTCATAGAATCATTAACTGTAAAACAAGAAAGTTGTTACTGGATATCATCGGCTAATATTGGAATAAGCCTTGAACTTTCGGTTCCAATAAAATTGAATGGGGTACGCTTCATGATATTGTTAAGGATAGGCAATTGTTAAGCATTATTTCAATTAAAGTCCTTCAGACCTGCGTCTTATGCTATTGAAGATGATTAACTTAACTAGTTAAGGCAGCTTTTAACTTTCGGCATCGATTGACCAAAACGGCTGCACTTTATGGCAACAAAGATAGGCAACTGCAAATGAGGAACATTCGTAAGGCGACCTTAGTAGGTGTTTTTTTTTTCACGAAAGTAGCCTACGATGGAATTTTCAGAACTGTGTATTTGACAGATCTTTCTGTCTAAGCGTGATTCCTCGATGACCACAGCTAATGACCGAAGTTCTCCGAATGCAAAGAATTTGATATTGGGCCAACATTTGTCATATATTTTCGTAGTCTTTTCTACTCTACTCTACTTAATGGTTTTGGACTGGGCGATATTAGATGTCTCTGATCTCCTGTATCATTAGAAAATACAAATCTGAACTACTCTGATTTAAATGCAAATCAAAATATTTTTTATTGCGTCAGCGTTGCAAATTGGTCATGTCGTATATGTTATGTTTGGAATTACTAAAACAGAAATGACGATGATATTACAAATTTCATTTCTGGTCGAGACTCATGCGAATAAGAAATTACAGAGAAAAAAACATTGATAATGACTTTCATCCGATTAGTAGTTGGTATATCATCCTTCTACGTCTTTTTACTATCTGACCTGCACTAACAAGCTACCCTAATGTCTAAAGATCACGCGCTCCACATGATTAAATCGTATCGTAAATTCATCGATCTTTCCTAATCTAAACAAACTGATTGCCAATCAAGCCAATATTCGCCAATTTATGGAAGCTCGCTTAAGATAATGACCTATCTAAGCTTATTTATACCAGATCACGTCCTGTCCAGACACCATGTTTCAGATCGCTGGAAACAATAGCTTGATACCAGAATGATCGAGAATGTCTAACTTTATACAAAATTTGCTTCTAAACTTGGTTGCTTGCCTTCCACAGTGGCGCAGCAAAAGGGGGGCAGAGCTCCTCCCAGCCCCAAATGCAACTCGTTCAGGCAAAAATCTCATAACTATGTTAGAAATTCAGATATTTCACCCTCGAACGTAAACCTATTTCCGCCACTGGCCTACCATACAAGTTAAGCTCTCAGCTTTATTGGAACTGCCGGGGATTGACGAATGGGCTGCTAGTTCCGATAAAAATTTAAAATGTAGTCCGACACTTTAGCCACAAATACTTCATCTAAAACGATTTTCTGTTGCGTTGTCCTATTCAGTCAGGCTATATCCTCCGACATGAAAACCCCCGACTCAGAAAATATAGAATAATGTGTTATAATAATTCAGAATCTCGCAAAATTAATCCCCACAGCTTCAAAATTATCATTATGAGACCCTGTTTACAAAAATTCCATTTTTGGCCATTCTCAAATTTTCGTGACCTAATTGATATACTGAAGTTACGTTTTCCTAATTTCTTAATCGATTAAAGGGGCGATCCTTTTTTTTTTCATTTCCTCCCATGCTTCTTTGTTACTACTGAATTGATGAATATGGACGCTACGGGATCCTAATGACCTCACTTTTCACATGTGTTTGGTAAAGACATCAAAGAGGTTTTTTAATAAATTCAAATATTTCTCGTAATCAAAACAAGCCGATTAAGAATTATTTGATGTGGCTTAAGTAAAGTCATAAGCTTCTTAACGCCCGCTTTTATCAGAGTTGAATATTATAAAATATACATTTATATTAGTTCTATGATATTTCGTGTGTATTTTTCATCAAATTGAAGTCTGGATTACATAAAGCCCAGAGAAATCTATAATGTTCGGATGAACTTGTATGGCCCCAAAATATAGAATTATAGAAAAATCGGTCATTATCGCTAGTAGCTTCTTCTTGCTATCTTGTAACCATGATTTGTTATCCTGTAGCCATGATTTGCTATCTTCTTGCCATGATTTGCCATCTTGTAACCATGACTTGTTATCTAGTAGCCATGATTTGCTATCTTTTAGCCATGATTTGCATTCCAGATTTGCATCCTATTACAACCACTTGCTTTTGGGCATAAATTGGTGTCAGGTTGTCACGATTTGTACATGTAGCTATGTCATGTGAATACGACTAGCAATGTAATGATTATGGATTGCTATGGTTTGATGTCTTGATGCTATTCTGTGGTCTTGAATTGCTGTCTTGTAGTCACTTATCAGTTTAGCTGTGACTTGTGCATACGACCAGCTATCTAGTGATTATGGATTGTATCCCGTAGCGACGAATTTCTATCTCGTAATCTACTTGCAACTGTTCAGCTACGACTACGGCATGATACCGCTTGGTCACGGCTTGCAACCGTGTAGCTACGACTTGGTATGTTAAAGATGCGACTTGCTATCATGTAGCTTCGGCTTTCTACCATGTAGTTATGACTTGCTAATGTGTATCTACGACTCGCTATTGTTTAGCCACAACTTACTACCAGAAGCTACGACTTGCTAACGTGTAGCTACGACTTCTTAGGGGTAGCTACAACTTGCTATCATGTAGTTTCGACTTGCTATCATGAAGATATGACTTGCTATCATGTAGCTTCGACTTGCTATCATGAAGATATGACTGCTAACGCGAAGCTACGACTTGCTACCTTGTAGCCACGACATGCTATCATGTAGCCACGACTTGATACTGTGTAGTCACGACTTGCTACCGTTTAGAAACGACTTCCTACTGTGTAGATACTTGATATTGTTTAGATATTATTTGCTATCTTGACTATACGACTTGGTACCGCGAAGCTACGACTTGCTATTGTGTAGATACGAGTTGATACTGTGTAGCTACGAGTTGATACCGTGTAGCTACGAGTTGATACTGTATAGCTACGACTTGCTACCGTGTAGCTACGAGTTTATACCGTGTAGCTACGAGTTTGTACTGTATAGCTACGACTTGCTACCGTGTAGCTACGACTTGATATTGTGTATATAGCTACGACTTGCTATCATGACTTGCTGTACCTAGGACTTACTATTTTGACCACGGTGTTATCGCATGACAATGATATATATAGGGCAATTATGAATAAACATTTCTTTTAATTTAGCCTACATTCCAAGAGTTCATGCACTGTTAATATCAAAAATCCCTTTGAATCAATATAAGGAAGAATCATCCAGTAAAAGTAATGAATATTGCCCTACGGCCATTGATTGGATTTAACAGTTCAATAACTGGTTGATTTTCTAATCGGAAAGTATATGCCTCTATCAGCTTGAACCAATATTGTTAGATTATCTCTTTATAGAATAGATTCAGATCTCAAAGAGTCAATTTCATGTTTGGAAAAAATAGCCTAGTATACCAGAGGCTAAGCTATAAACACGATAACAATTTAAAGGGATTTAGCCCTTAACATTTTCTCTGAATCTTCCAGTACGAAACAAGATATTTAAAGGGACGGAATCGTCATTCATTTGACAAATCATACATTAGTCTTAGAAACGGGAATTTTTGTAGCTAAGCTAATCAGTAATAGTGCTCACACTCGAAAATTGAGTTTTCAAATCCATATGTGTCCAGAATTATCTGCGTTTGAAAGCTAAAAGGGCGTCTTTTCTTGAAACCCTGCCATATACGAAAAAGAAATATATCTTCATTTCTATATAAATCCTTACTATTACCCTTCCCTCCTATAAATCCTTACTATTACCCCTTTTTCCCCCTATAAATCCTTACTATTACCCTTCCCTCTATAAATCCTTTCTATTACCCCTCTTCCCCCTATAAATCCTTACTATTACCCTTCCCTCTATAAATCCTTACTATTACCCTTCCCTCTATAAATCCTTTCTATTACCCATCTTCCTCCTATAAATCCTTACTATTACCCTTCCCTCTATAAATCCTTACTATTACCACTCTTCCCCCTATAAATCCTTTCTATTACCCCTCTTCCCCATATAAATCCTTTCTATTACCCCTCTTCCCCCAATAAATCCTTACTATTACCCTTCCCTCTATAAATCCTTACTATTACCCTTCCCTCTATAAATCCTTTCTATTACCCATCTTCCTCCTATAAATCCTTACTATTACCCTTCCCCTTATAAATCCTTACTATTACCCTTCCCTCTATAAATCCTTACTGTTACCCTTCCCCCTATAAATCCTTTCTATTACCCATCTTCCTCCTATAAATCCTTACTATTACCCCTCTTCCCCCTATAAATCCTTACTATTACCCTTCCCTCTATAAATCCTTTCTATTACCCTTCCCTCTATAAATCCTTACTATTACCCTTCCCTCTATAAATCCTTTCTATTACCCATCTTCCTCCTATAAATCCTTACTATTACCCTTCCCTCTATAAATCCTTACTATTACCACTCTTCCCCCTATAAATCCTTTCTATTACCCCTCTTCCCCATATAAATCCTTTCTATTACCCCTCTTCCCCCAATAAATCCTTACTATTACCCTTCCCTCTATAAATCCTTACTATTACCCTTCCCTCGATAAATCCTTTCTATTACCCATCTTCCTCCTATAAATCCTTACTATTACCCTTCCCCTTATAAATCCTTACTATTACCCTTCCCTCTATAAATCCTTACTGTTACCCTTCCCCCTATAAATCCTTTCTATTACCCATCTTCCTCCTATAAATCCTTACTATTACCCCTCTTCCCCCTATAAATCCTTACTATTACCTCTTCCCTCTATAAATCCTTTCTATTACCCCTCTTCCCTCTATAAATCCTTACTTTTACCCCTCTTCCCTCTATAAATCCTTACTATTACCCCTCTTCCCTCTATAAATACTTACTATTGCCACTCTTCCCTCTTTAACTCCTTACTATTATACACCTCTTCTCCCGATGAATTCTTACTATTAAACGCCCCCCCCCCCCCCTTCATGTCAGAGAATATAGCTTTTGACTGAACTAAAGTTATTGTTGTCGAAAAGTTTAAGCTAGACTGCAAAACGCCTCATTACTCCACAAAAAAGTCAAAAAGTAAATTGTTGCCTTTAATGATACGGACGTCTGCTTGACAGTGTTTGTTATTGATTAAAATTATTCTTTTTTCCATCCAATGTCAGAAAATGATTCCATCATCCTTCAAATGTCAGAAAATGATTTCCCCTTCCATCCAATGTCTGAAAATGATTCCACCCTCAACCCAATGTCATAAAATGATTCCACCCCTCCATCCAATGTCAGAAAATGATTCTACCCTCCACCTAAAGTCAGAACGTGACTCCAACCTCAACCCAATGTCTTAAAATGATTCCATTCCCTTTTCCCAATGTCAGAAAATCATCTCGTCGGCTCCAACATTCTACCATCCACTTCCTACACACATTTATGTGATACAGATATTAGGTGTATATGAGCTAAGAGGCAGTATCTCATCGATATTTCTAGTCACTTTTCTAATTATCTACCGTATTTACTGACTTATTGGGTTTCAATTGCCACTGTATTCACTGCACAATACAATAATTTAAAATCAACTTGCCTTCCAATTGCCTCGGTCGTGATTTCTTCGTGTTTCTCATCGCGTGATTTGATTGAAAAGACAGTGCAAATGACAGGTTATTAAAGGGAGGTGAAATTGTATTTTTATCATTTGATAAATTTGATTTTGGGCCTACATATTGTTTGCTTAAAATATAAATCTATATATATCGTTAATTGGTACGTGAGTTACTTCACTCATATTTAAAGCAATACTAACTCTTAGAATGGACATAAAATTTAAAGTCTGAAACTTGGTCAATAAGAGTATATATTCATCAGTTAGACTTACCAGGTGTCATGACTAAAGAATAGAATCTCTATATAAGATGATATATCCATTAAACTAAATAATTATTGAAATACAATTCTAAGCATGTTTCAAAATTACTTACTATAATGAATTATTACTTAGTTTTTATGGTTTCAAAGGATTATAGAGAGATTCTGTTGTATAGTTTTGACTCGAGGTATAAGTACACTGATAAACAAAGACTCATTTTAAACAAGTTTAAACCCTTAAGTGATTAGTGGAGAAAGGACGCAGATTTACACAATTGCCAGTATTGTGAGCATCAAATTTAGAAATTTTAATTTTCTTCAATACAAAAAGTTAATACTTTTTATGTCGTAAATTTGAATATTCCCTACTTCAGATCTACCTGGGGAAGCTACTTTAACTGGTTAGAATGATTTAATCAACTTTGAGTGAATACATTATAAAGAAACAATACCAGATGTCTAGAGAAAGATCAAAAAACGAATAAATTACGGTAAAATATTGGGATGTTTTCCTTGAAGATTACAAATGAGATTCTTTCATGAATACATAATGGCCCATCGCACATAATAACTTTTAGAAAATTGCCAGAAGATAGCTTTACATAATAGAAATGAAACGTCCAAATGATTTGAATTATATTCCCGGGAGTTGATTTTAAGTGCCTGCCTATATTCACCTTCTATTGTCCATCAATCGTAGATCAGATGCGACAGTTACTACTCCCTGTTCGTATCGTATAGTCTACATTGGTGTCAGTATATGTACAAATCGTGTAATACCCAATGCGACTTCTTGTTCAAAGTTGAATACTTATAAAGTGCTTTTATTAAATATCGTACGCAAGACGACGAATTTATATCCGTACCGATATGCCTAACGAAGTTTAAAGATAAGCACGTCTTTCTTAAGCAGAAACAGTTCTCAAATTCTGTGGAACGAACACTCAGACTCAGTGGAAATCGACACAGGAGTCTACGACAATCGACATCATTTATAATGCTCAGTTTAAATCGACATTTCCACTCAGTACAAATTGACAGTTACACTCAGTACAAATCGACATTTACACTCAGTAGAAATCGAACTTTACTCTCAGTTGAAATCGACAGTCATACTCAGTGGAAATCGACAGTTACATTCATTAGAAATCCACACCTACGCTCAGTAAAAATTACATTTACAGACAGTGGAACTCGACTCTCAGACAGTGAAAATCGACACTCAGACAGTGGAATTTGACACCCTCACTTTGGAACTCGACACAGACA